TCGATTCTCCGCGGTGGACAGAGCGCAGATAGCTGTAGCTAACCGATAAAAAAAATCAACATTTTCTTTTTACTTAATCGAGATTTTTAAATTTAAAACTGCATTAACCTTTTTCAAACGCTTCATTGTCTCTTTTGTGACTCAAGTCACATGTGACTTCTCAGCGCTACCTGCCCGCTCGATACGGTCACAAACCATACATAACTCTCAATACCAAGTTGTGTCATAGAAAACCTACACGCTTCCGTGTTTGGGTTCCGATATGCCTTGTGGCACTGATTATCTCACCAATAGTACAGGCCACGGACATACTTAATGGGCTGCCACTCCACACGCGCACCCGCACGAGACACTATAGAACTCAGCGCCCTGCCTCCAGCACTCTTATAAAAGAAACGAAGGGTCATCCAGAGCATTTGTATCTTGGATGCTTCTTTCTGGCCGGTGACGATTACAATCAAAGCAAAGGTATGAACATCAACTGTATTATTACATCATGTTTAGAGTCAGAGTGATCAAAAAGGTTAACATTAAAATTATAGTTCAGAAGCTTTACTTAATGACAGATATATTTTTTTAACCCATTTATTTATTTTGCTAAAACGAGCTTGGAGCTCATTAGCCAGCCTGATATTATGGAAAGGGAAAATGTTAAAAAATATAGTTTGGAAGTTTTACTTTATGTAAGGTTGATTTTTTAACTAATTTACTTATTTCACTAAGGCAAAATTTGAGTTAAATAGCCAGCCTAAGACTATACTTTCTAAGAAATTCACAAATTTTGCCTTTTTATTTTTATTACACAATTAAAATGTTACTTTAGAGCTGGGAATATAATTTTACAAATGCAATCATCAAATAGTTTAAAAAGTAATACCAATCACTATCAGTAACTTTATATTAATACAGTAATAACTTGACAGAATGAAAAATAGTTTTTAGATACTACAACCTGTTGTACTTTACTAAAACTAGACCCCCTCTTGGCCTATTAGGCAAAAAATCGGGTTTCGATACCCTCGATGGACAGAGCATAGTTGGCCCATTGTGTAGCTTTGCGTTTAACAATGAACAAACTAAAACTAGCGTGGCCAAAAATATTAACATAAAGTGTAGCAATACAGTGTCAGAAAGGACGAAATGTAATGCTAACTTATACTAAAAGTCTTGTTTACGTATGTCTATATTCCATTTAGTAAGAAAAGGGAAATAATAAATATATATATATATTCCATTTAGTAAGAAAAGGGGAATAATATATATATATATATATTCCATTTAGTAAGAAAAGGGAAATAATATATATAAATTGACAAAAAAGTGCTACTCTATATACAAAATAATTAAGAAAACGCGTCACTATTGACGTCCTGTCATATCAGGTAGTCTCGAGAAATATGGAATAACCACGCTTTTTTCAATTAACTACATTAATAATAGTAATTAAAACTGTATACTGAGAATCAGGTGGCAAATCCGTGTGGTTACAAGCACAAATTTCGTTTATTTTTTTGTATTTCAATAATACTGTTTTACTAGTTTATTTGTCACTGATATGAGTCAAAATAACTGTTTGCAATAAAACGGTAACTTTAGGATGATTTAACCAGGATATATTATAACATAGTTTATTATTACTGTAAAGAAACTGGTTAAAATAAGCTTATACCCGAAGTTCGGTTCCCATATTGTCTTGCTGTTCAAAGTAAAAACAAAGTCACAGAATGACCAGTAGTTAGTTGATTTGAGTTTGAATACAAGGGGGGAGACTACAAGCGCACATTGAGGTGTGTTATAATAAAGAAACCCTGTTTACATGTAAAAAATGAAGAGCCTTGAGTTATGTCTTTCAACCAAAGGTTAACGTTTTGATATAACGGCTTGTACTTAAACAATATAAATAACAAATTGGAATTTAAAAACTTGCAAATAGGGATCGTAAAAAAAGTAAGAAATCAAGGCTGGAGATACTGTAGACATTATTTACTCAAACTACAAACCCTATTTTGATTCCATGCTATTACCTAGAGTTACATTTGGTAGAGTCAAAATAGCGATTTGTAGTTTGAGTAAATAATGTCTACTCTATCTCCAGCTTTGTTTCCATACTTTATTTTTACGATCCATATTTTCAGGTTTTTAAATTTTCTACTTATCTTGTTTGCTGTTTTTTTTATGTTTAACTATGAGCAACGGATTACTTGATATGGTAGCTAACTTTGTACATTGTAATGATAATAAACATAGCTAGTAGCTAACTGATACCGGACATGATTTACTGTAGCTATTGATTATTTGATCGTATTAGTCAGATGTAAAATGTTAAGCTGCAGATGGAGATTTGTTTGAGGAAATAGTGAGCATTTATAGTTTTTGTGTAACTAAATTCTCTCTATATAATGCATAACAATGAGCAGACATATGCCCAGACTAAGACACAACTCCATTAAGTGTGTATAAAATTTTACCAGTATAAAAGCAGCCTTCTCAAATACAACTTATACATCTAAGACATCGCTTTAAATGAATCTTCGTGTATTTTAAAGTAATTATTCTACGAATGTGTGTTATAAAATTTAATATTATTTTGTATGGACTTTTTTTACTCTTCACTTCGTACATAATATAGGGTTGGCTCCCTAAAAGACACCGACTGTATAGTGTACAAAGCATTGAGTATCTACATATTACATTCATGTAATGTTCATCTATTATTGGCTGGTAATTACTGTTTCACCCTGTACTTTAGCTTTTTAAAGGAACACCAGATATTTGTAAGAAAGCTAACTTCAAGGAGTAATGATAACTAGAATTATGATGTTTCTTAGCTTATGTAAAATATAGAAGAAATAAATCGACTTGTCAATACCCCTACGACCTTCGCAGTACCTTATTTAGTATCCTATGAAAGGTTTGGGTGCAATATACCAGTCCGTTTTTGTTGTAGGTTGGCAGGAGATTAAGAATAATTACAAATGGGACGTTTTGAGCGGATTTTATTATTCCTCTAAATCTAACATGCGTGCATTTTTGTGTGTACAGCCTTAGCAGTCAATAGTAAAAATTTTAGAGTGTTGTTTGAACTGAGTCTTTACTACTGAAGGTGCTTTTAGCCCGAACGTTCTATTAGGGTTTTGTGCAATTCATTGCAACCTCTATTATGGAACCACTGTCGTGGTTCATAATAAATGAATAATTATGGAATGGATAACTTAAAAGTTGCTTGTGAGATTTACAATTCATATTTAAGCAACCATATTGAAAACTTCTTGTCCATAATCTATGATTCGACAAGATTGCAACTAATTTAACCAAAAGCTCTGAACCCAGTAGAACGGAAGACGCCTATCTAGACTAGGTCACACAACCGGATACAAGTGACCTCGTGAGCAAAGTGTTTAACAACAAACCCTCAAGCATCGCATAGTTGACTCCACAAAGGGTGTGTTAGCTGTTAAGGTTTGTTGAACTCTAGAATGTGGGACAATGCCAAGGCTAGAAAGAGTCCATTCGAATGTGAGTAAAGCACATTCTAACTACAAGGCTTCTTGGTAGGAGATACAGGTTCACGAGGTATAATCCCTCCTCACTTTTAATGGGGTTTTCAGGTTTATTCCTTCAAGTGATATGGTTATTATGGGATTTTGTTTTATACATCATCACCCGGACATGACACAAAGCTTAATCCACTATACAAGACAAACCATCGAACCTTGACAGTCACGAAAAATTCTATGCTTTCAAAAATCATTGCTAAAAACTAATAGAAGCGTAACTGTCAGATAACGATGCACAACAATTAAAGACTGTTTATAAAAATATAAATCTTTAGTTTTGTTTGGGTATTGCGAAGTAAAAATGTTATGCACCGGCTGATAAAAATAAATGTATTATGTCAAATGTTCAACTCTAACATCCTCTTTAAGGTCATTGTCTGATGCCAAAAGTTAGCTAGCAGAACAGACTACCCAACTTTGTTATTACTTTCACAACCAAGTTGTACGAGAGAAAATATCGCAACAGTTTATAGCTATCGTGCGTTAGCCTCTTAGCAAATAATATAACAATTGTTAAAAAAAAGTTATATGTTCAGAAACAGTTCTTTAGTTTTGCACGCCATTAAGTTTATTTTCCTTATTAGTAGCTATTAGTGGCTATTATAACCAAATGTGTTTCAATTAGATAACTATTACGTGGATATGATTTGTATTGTATCAATGTCATATTAATAATTTTGATATGTTGTAATGGTGTCTATTGTTAGGCCTAATTATTATTATTATTATTCAATAAAAGAATAATAATTCAACTTTTAGTCCACTTAATGATAACGAAAGCGTCTTATTTCTTCGACTTAAAAGTTTTACAAGATAGCTGAAGTAATGTTTACTTGTAGGTAAAAGTTCATTGTAGGCGCTAATATAATTTCGCTTACTTGTTAAACGTACAGCATGACTCTTATTACTTAATCTAGAACACATACTTAATACTTACAGCTCCGAACTGACTAACAAACTCAGTCAAACAATAACCCACTACTTCAAATATTCAAAAACCAATAGTAATCTACTCTAGCATAAGTCGTTTTATACAGCTCAGACTGTTCTAAAATTCTGTAGAATTCCACACGCTCATCATATGGCGTCAAACCTCACTTTGACCAAACAACTATACAAACCTCTGTATTAAAAACATCGTCTACAATAATAAACTTTGCGAATATTATATGCTCTGTCCTAGCAACTGGTTGTGCAATTGAAAAAAGAAGTATTATAAGGTTATATCGTGTGTTTTCTATTGCACCTACATCATACTTATATTAAGATAACATTTTATATACTCTAGTTAATAAATTTATTAACTTTTTTTCAGGAGCAAGCATGAAGACGACAATTTTCTTCTTCTTCTTCGTTTTAGCCATAGCCAAGTCACAACCCGATCTTAGCAACGAACAAAACGTCAAGAAGGTACAAAGTGCAACAGAAACTGCTCGAAATGCTCGCTACAACCAGGAAAAGTTTTCTTCTAAATATGACAAAGAAAAGAACGATGTTACACAGTTCCTTTCTGCTAAAAATATCATTCATACGATCGTCAAACTGTTATTCGGTAGCACTGACGAAAGTTCGGCCACTGCGCGGCAAGTCTTGAATATTCTGAGGAGTTTGCTTGATATGATGCAGGCAACTTTCAGTCAGCGGGCTCGCTCTACAAGTGCACGGGGTTTGCAAGGAGCAGTGGGGGACGTAGGATTAGCTGGAGCGACAATGTTGCAGGGCTACATAAAGTCCATACTGACCAAAGACGAACAGTGCATGCAAAGATATCTTTGCGAAGCAAGCAAAAAAGCGGTCAATGAAAGCAAAGACCTTGGCTACTTAGTGGCCGAATTTGGAGGGTAAGTTACACAATCGGTCTGAACGTCAGACAAGTACTGATTTGTATTTTTCATGAACATTTGACATAAAAAGCATCACATGTTGTATATTTTTCCAAGGGCATTTAGTAAATAACCATCTACAGATAACTTTGATATATCTTAAAGGGACGGACGTCAGGCCGAGGAAAATAGTGTTTCTTTGAACTTAGCAATATACAAAATTATCTTAAGAAGACCCCTAGTTATTTCACGTGACCTTTGGGGTCATTCATTGTTGAGAATTATTTGTTCACCTGAAAGATACATTATGCATGCAATGAGCTAAAAGGCTAGGCCAGAGACCCCTATGATTCGACTATAACAACCCCTAATTTTGAGGGAAAGCAAACTAATTGGGAGCAATCGTCACTTTGTCCGAGTTGACTGTCAGTCTTGCACATGACGTCACAAAACTTCTCGTTTCGTTCAACGCCACCATTTCAGACATCAAACACTCCTTCTGGCAGTCAACAGTAATCCATAATCCGGTAAAGCTCTACACGTTGTCAATGGCGTATACATAGCTATTCAGTTTCTTGATATATATATTTCTTTATGGATACCACTCTTTTAATATATAACGTTGGTTAACAAAACATTTGACGTCCAATATGACGGAGTAAACTATAACCACGTGACTTTTTGACGTCTATAATAAGTACAAAGCGTGTCTGACTGATATCTATCAAACCACAATGCGATACTCTAATTACAAGGACACACTCAGGACAGTGTTGAAAACGTTCTGAAATTTTCAAGTAACTTTAATATACATGCAACCATTATTCTGAGGACTACACTTTAAATATCACTATTAAATTATAATTACCCATCTTGTAAAAGCCATAAACACCACGCGGGTCGAACAGTTTGTTTTTGAATATTCGCGGAAAGCTACTCAAGCATTATCTCTCCCTTATTTTGAATTGCTAAACTAAAAGGAAGGCATTTAGTCAATAGCACTCATTGCCTGACCAAATAGCTGAATTTGACCGCCACCCCAAAGCTGGACTTAATACTTTTTGTCGGCGATGATATTGGGAACATCGTACTTGCAGATCGACGCTAACCACTAGGATGCACTCGGCCCGAAGTCGAATGTGACTAATTTTACAATACATCATAAATGAGGTAACTAACTTTACAATAAACATTACATTCTAAATGGGGTGTTAACCAGCAAAAACTATTGTGTTGAGAGATTATGGTGCGATTGACAAAATTTAAACAAGTTTTGTCCCATGGAGTAAGAAGCAAATATATAATCAAAATTCTTTTTTAAATCTTTTTAGTTTACACAGATCATTAAAAATTGTTCCCTAAGTGTGTGGAAAGAAGTCTAAAAATACCAAATGTGATAAAACAACAGTCCACCAGCTGCACGTTTTAATATATTTACTGAATATAGAAATATTTCGAACCCCAAATCAAATATTCAGCATGTAATTGACAGAAGCCATTACGACTTAATTTTATACTACTGGTGTTAATTTGACACCGACTGGTCATCATTTTCAACAGACTGTTTAAAACAACTACATTGACCTGTACGGTAATAAGCAAGTAACGTAACTAACTTCCAACTTCATAATGGATTGGTCTTATTTTTGAATTATTCTGAATGATATATATATATATACACGTAACGTACCAAATAAGAGAAGTTCAAACAACACTTTTAATGTTTTTGTTGTTTATTTTGAACTACAGCTATGCTGTTAGTTATGCTTTGGAAACCCAGAAAGCGACGCCATTTCAAGAGAGTTACAATGCCTCCAGAAGAGGACGCAGCGGAGATGATTGTTTTGCCATATACCAAGACTGCAGCGAAGAAGATTGAAGTGAAACTTCCAGCTACATCAATCACCTATTTGATGTTTTGATATTCACCTGCACGTGTTTTAATACGCAAGATGACAAAACTACTTTCTATGCTCCACAAACACTCAGTTCAGGTGGGGCGGAACCGTGAAGCTCTTTTCATAGGATAACAATAGACTACCACCGGTTAAGAAAGGCCACCTGCTGGTCAGGTGTCGAATTTCTCTAGATAACTTTCTTGGGTACGCATGGTTTAGAACGTCAATTAGATAGGTATTCAATATTTATTGTAACGCACCCCTCTCATTGCAATAAAACTGTTATTACAATCTCGTGTTTTTTACTAATACTGCCTAATAAGTCTTGAGAGTGATTTATAGCAGTACAACCACTCAACAACTATAATTTTAAAAAAAATCACGTATTGTACATAACTTGAAGTTTCTCTGGACTTTTATCAAGGTCATACTATTAATTTATTCCAAAACATTACTGGTATGCCTTTCTTTTGTTAATTCCCAAATATGCAATAAACCTAAGTTCACGAACCTGGCAGAGGTCAATAACGGCATGTACACCAATTCACTAATAATATTTATTGACAGAAAAGCACAGGTGCATTTAAAACAGACTGACTCCAGTTAGTTTTACAGTGATAATTCTAAATATAAAGAAAAATATCTTTTTTTCATTATTAAACAGGAGACATTAAATGTTGTCCTTATCAGATAAGCAATAGCTCACAAGTTACTCCAGATGGAACAGTAAAAAAAGCATTGTAATCCAATCTCCTAAATTTACTGAAGGCTTGATAATCAGTTGGGTCTTTAAATCTCCAAACTGTGTTGGTTACTAGTACCCTAGGTATAAAGAACTAAAATGGACAACATCACACACACACACACACGCAAAAGTTAATGTGCAATTATGAATTTTTTATGTAAAGAATATATATATATATATCCACCCTATTGATCTCCAAGTTTGGTCTAATCTCCAACTCTGTTATTAATCTGATTATTATTATATATTTGTATTGTTATGTATTTGTTTTAGTTTACCATTTGCTAGTATACTGGTTTCTGTGGATTGACAAAATACAACGTTTATCAAAACTTAGGGAAACAAGTTACACATTAGTCAGAAATTTCACGACAGAATGTTATCCATGTAGGCAAGCAAAGAAGAACATTAAACATCATTGTAAAAAAGTGAAATCCATCAAAATCTCACTCAATTCGGTTTCGTAGTAAAATTTACATTTTAGAATCAATTTACACTTGTGGTACAGCAACCTGAAAACTAGTTGAATAAGTTAGCACAGTATCAAGATGATATCATGAGTTCTGTCAACCTAAATTAAATGCAGATCATTAAACTGTCATTAGTTTTATATCCTTAATTGTAGAAGGTGTTTTAGAAAAAGTATAAACAGGACACACAAGGAAAACAAAATTAACTACTTAACAGCAATAATGTTTGGAAATTATATTTATATGTATAAAAAGACAAACTTTCCAACAAAAAACCATATAGTAATACTACAAAATAAAAGTAAAACCACAGATTTATAGTAGCAGAAAGGTCACATAAACACCTAAAACTAGCATTTAATTTTCTCTATGTTCCAATTGGTTGAGTATTTATTTTCACTGCATGTAAAAAAAGAAAAAAGTAAAATAATATGGCTAACGCACAACACTTTCTTAGTTCTTCCACCTATTGTATCAATCATTACCTAATGAAAGAACTAGAGATTAAAATAGGTTTTACTTTCATCACATCTAAAAGGAAGCTTGTAGCTAATTCTGTGTTTAACTCTCAACATGAATATCAGTTTAAAATGCATCGTCTAACTTCAGCTGATTTGTAACTGGAGGTTACTTTTAGATTTTACTACAGTGTCCTATTTCATTAAATTTTCCTCCTCTTCGCTGCTGTTGGTAAATGAAATAATACACAAGCCCTTTCGGACTATAATAATCTCGGGAAAAGCTGTTTGTTGCCATAATTTAAATAAGGTAGCAGAAATGTTCACTTCAATACCTATGTGCTAACTGATATTTTCTCGGTGCTTTTAAATTTCTTTTCACTTAAATAATTTTAAACTTTTAAGTGAAAAACAAGACTAGAGAAAACACTACTTACATAAAATAGTAAACGTATGGATAAACTCATGAACTTTCTTTATTTCGAAAATGACTAATTTACAAACACAAGTCACCTTGTTCCTATTAAACATCCTTAACAACTGATAGCTAATTGACAGAAGAAAAAAAAACATTCTAACTACAGATACACTATGTTAAACAGTCATACATATATGTTTCATTTTCAGTCAGGTAATTCAAAATTAAATCAATTACACAGCACATTTAAAAGAGTCCATAATGATGGATATCAAAGTGGAGCTTCCAAGTGAAGCAGCATTAAATTTTTAAACTGAATATCCCTCCTCCCATAAAAATAAAGTTATAAGGTTAAAGTTGGTTAATTCATAATTGATATATTTTGTCCTTTTATACACTCTTGAAAAAAAAAAAAAATCAAACAGAAATGACAGTGACTCAGTTTTTTTATACACACAAAGTGGTCCTGATTCAAAAACTAAAGCATAATAATGTGAAGTAAACAGTGTTAAAATCCTGGTTTCCACACTGATGAAGCTGGATTACAACCTTATTATTTCTATATAAACATCCTTCTAGTCCTCCCCCCTCCAAGGCAACTTAAGACAGTTGTCCAATATTTCTTTCTCAATACATATTTATTTTTTAATTTTGTGTACCTAAAAATCACATACACTAAACTGTCACTACACTCACTTTTGTTTTTCAAATTACAACTTACAACTTCTAAAGACGAACCATTTTTTTTATGTTATTACATTCTAATTCTTTCAATTTTACTGTGATTTCACTCATTTTCTATAACATCCACGCCTCAGTAACTGCAAGTTTAGAAACTGACACAAAAAACCTTTTCTAAAAAAAATAAGCAAAACAACAAACGTAAATTTCAAGAAGATTGTTTATTTATACTTGAGTGGAGGATTCAAACACTTCAATACCATACACAAATTTTCATACATTATTAACAGACATACCAGACCAAAACATGTTGTTACTAATGGTCTTTTATTTCAGAAACTATCTTAAAGATGCCATCATTTCTGCTCCAACATGACACACTCTGCACAAAGAGAAACAATCACCAAACACACTACACACATCTCTTGGAAGTGATGATGCGAATTTGACTTGGAACTAGGACTGAAGCCCTTTAAAAAAAAAGGGGACAAGTTATATGTTTCCCATGAAAGACAATGCCACAAATTAATGAGGTTTATGTACAAAAAGAAAAGGGTGTTAATACACATTCAAATGTAACAACTTCCACACTGAACTTTTATAACCTCAGATTGAAGCACCCCAAGATTTGTTTTTGTTGCATCAACTAAAGTGAAAACACTAAATTCATGTTCAAAAATAGTCATTCACTCAAAATAAGGTTCCACTTAGGACAAAGGCCAATATAAAACTTGCAGACATAACTTAGGGGGAATCTTCCATACAATTATCAATGAAATGATGAAAAAATGCCATTACACAGAGTGTGTGTGTGTGTGTGTAATTGGTGCAGTTTCTTAATTTCAATCCTGCATCTCCTCAGGAATCTCATGGGGATTAAGGATTCCTGGTACTGATAACTGGATTTTTCTCTTCTCTTCCTCAGCTTGTCGAAGAGCTGCTTCTCTTTCTTCTAAAAACAGATCACTGTCGTCTTCTCCCGCAAACTCCTGGAATTTTTAAACCAATTCCTTTTAAGTTTCACTAATAAAGCTCAAATAAATCTTATAACAATTAACACAATCACCACAAACATTTTTTTTTTGTTTACTATTAGCATTTGTTTTTTAAAAAGATATGCCCATAACATTATACTTGCCTATAACAAATAAAAAAAGTGAGCTAGAAAAATATAATTAATGAATTACTAAACAGTTTTATTGAGCAAAAATCACACCAACATTCTGTTAGTAAAATACTTGAACTGTTAATAGCAGAGGATAAAAACCATTTTATTATTACCCTATATACAGTTTATCATCATACTTACCCTAATCTGAACCAAGAAGTCTCTTAAGTGTTCTTTGAATGCAGGAATGTCCTGGTCGAGGTTCAAGAAACCCTGAACAGTTATTTTTATCTGGTTTCTATAATCAGAAGAATTACTTTGAGAAACAAAAATCCTTTTATAGCTACTGCAAAGAACTGTGATAAAAAAAAGACATTTTTACACCAGTAATTTAAGAATTACTATCAGAACAGATTCAGACTGATCAATTTTGATGATTAAAATAGGAAGAAGGGCTAAATGAATCACATAAATATTAACTCAAAAATTCTAAATTTAAAATGCTAATCAGAGGGAATAGGGATGAATGATGTAGTTTTTGCTAATAAATAAAGAGCCGTGTTTATACGCAAAAAATAAATGAAAACTACAATTTTTACTATCAGTACTACAATAACGGTTTTTGACTGTTTTTAATCTTAGTTTAATAAAATATAAACAACCCTTTCATCTGGTGAAGTACATACATATTTCTTGCAGTTCCTCTGCAACACGTTTGTTACTTGTACAACCATTAATGCATAAATCTCTAATACAACTGGAATGATGCCACAGGCAGTTGGTGTAATATAGTATGATGTAGGTGCGGAAAACAAAATAACTTTCTGTTCGTCGTTGAAGTAAGAAGATAAAAATTATTATGAGTGTTGCCATTGGCAGGTTGTAATAACTAATGATTTAGAATAAATTTTCAAAAAAAAACTTGCAAAATAATCAACGAAAACAGTATTAAAATGCTGTTAAAACTTTCTCCTTGGCTATAAATGACCAATACATAATTTTAATCACAGAATGATTAAGAAATATAAATACTGATGTACTTACGACTCAGAAGGCAATATTTTACATCACAATGATACGAGAAAAACTTTCTGTTTACGTTACAGGTGGAATTTAATCAAAACCCATTAAAGGTAGAAAAATTAAACTAATTTTGTAAAACTCTGATCAAGCCAATGTTTTTGGTACACTTTCTGAAGAACAATTAACTCATGGGTTCATACCATGCATATAAAACAAGTATTCAAAAATTATTTAATCAATCAAAAACATAATTCTTACTAAGCCTATGAAGGAGAAGCTAACTAATGAGTTAAGAATGATAAAAATAAAATTAAAAGAAAAAAAAACTGACAATTTGGTAAACTTTGAGACACTAAACTTTTAAGTCACAGTACAGAAATCCAAACAACAGTGTTATAAGTTCATCATAATAACCTTTTGATGTTTCTACTTACTGTGAAAGATGAGGGAAGGCCATCTTAAGTAAATTGGCTACAAACTCTTGTACATAGGTGATATTACTTTGACCATTAGTCTGTGCAGTGGGATTCAGTGGCACGGAAACTTTTCCAACTTCAACTAATGTGAACATGTAGGCCAGAATAGTTGCTTGCATAGTCAAACCTAACAAAAATTAAACATTCCATGTTCACTAGACAACATAAAAATTAGCCAAGCAATTCGTATGTATAACATGCATCACTGAGACACCTTGAAATTATTCTCCTGGATCAGAAATCAAGAAACAGTTCTGGAAACAACTTAATTTTATATATTTACATGATATTCTAATTCTCTGTTGCTGTTTTTTTAACAGCGTTTGAGACCACTGTCACACACTGAATAATCTTGTAACCACTGGTGGTGGTGGTGATTATCACTTCACTGTTGAAATTATACTATATAATTAAATACTATATATAGTATTGGTATACTATATATCATAAATTGTCACCCTAATAATAACCTTACAGAAGCTTTCTTCTTATGTATGAGTGTGTTTACTTGCCAATATATTTTAGAAACTATTGAAAACTTGCCCTACATCCAATATAAATAAAAATTATCATCTAAATTTTGGCAGTAACAAGTTTTTACCTGCAGTTTGAATACAACTAGTTTTGATTTAACTGTCAACCCAACAACATTCATTATTAGAAAATCAAACTAAACCCACTGTAAATCGTTTAAACACGGAAAGATTTAAAACTATATCAGTGACAACTGATCTCACCTTCCAAAATAGCATCACTGTTACCTTTATCAGGTATCATAGAATAATATTTTGACAACAATACTCTTTGTTGAGATCAACTTATAGCCAATACTTATAATTTGCTTTCTATAAGTAAGAAATTATTGTCTTTGTGTACATATTACTTGAATACAATAAACTTCACATTGTATTCAAGCCTACCCTACCGTACTTGCTAATATCTGTCATTGATAATGTCTCATTAGAAATGAATACTCCTGTTGCTTTCCTGTAAATATTGTATCACACAAAAACAACACCAGAAAGTATAAAGACAAAAATCTTGCTTCCAAATGTTAAGGAAAATTTAAAACTGTGTCTTCAAGTTGCTTTATTATTGTTGATTACAACTCATCATAACTAACTTTTTTCAAAAGCTTGATTAATTTTCACACAACACTATAGTCTTCTCAACTAAAGAACATTAAAGGTCAAAATCTCTTTCTGATCAAACAGAAGGCTTATAAACATAAAATAAACATCAAGCTAACAGAAAATGCTGAAATTTGACTTGGAGAAATAAATATAAACTTAGAAAAAAAACCCTAAAGTACAAAATTTACAGTTCATGCACCAAGATATACAAGAGAAATGTAAGTTTGAACATTTGTTAAATATTTTATTCTTGAAATAAACATTACATGTTAAAATATTAAATTTCTGAAAAGTCTGATTAAAGAAATTTTTGCACGAGAGTTAAAATTATATTTTCATGTTGAGTTACAAGCAACTCTTAAGTGACACTTCAGACTGGAAGGTAAAATCATGGGATTAACAGAAAGAGACATATTTTGTGCATGCATTATTGCAAGTAATATAAGAGCAACAACTTAGTATAATAGATAACAAGAACCAAATGCAGTTCAACAATCCATTTTTCACATATAATCATGATTGTTTTATTTTCTGTATTTGGTCATAATACACAATGTTTATATTTTGAACTAATCTTTAAAAAGGTTTAATTTTTGTACATTTATGGCACAAAAACATATTCATATTTCTATGTTCTGATCCTAATTTGTACATATTTTATGTACAAATATAAGTGAATGAGCACATTTTGGATGTGAAAGTCTTCACTAGTTTGTATTTCAACTTTTAAGTTTTATACTACTGTTTTTTCAGAAAAACTGGTTAAAATATTGGCTCATTGGGAATTTAAATTGTCAATGTTAAGTATGAATATTTTCATAAAGATATAGAAAATATTAAGAAACTTTTACCAAACTATATCATTCCAATAGGCATTACATATCAGGTTATTCAAGACTATTTAAACAATAAGTCTTTCTACAAAACCTAATGGGAATGTTGCTAAATAGAAAGTTCTGTTAGTCCTGCCATATACAGGTAAACAGGCTACTGTCATTTAATAGTTATGTCTTCGTACATACCCCAAAACTGAATTGATGCATTTTCAAGCCTGTATGCTAATTATAGTATTCAAGTATAAAAACTTCTAATCTGGTATATTGAATATAAATATTTTTTAGGTTATCACTTGCTTGTTAACAGTTCACATGCATAGTTTAAGATCCACATTATTTTCAAGCATACATGTAATGAACCAAAAACTCGAGGACAATTAAACATCTCCACAAAGTTAAACAGGGAACAGGAAATGCATATAAATGAAAGTATATTGATCAATAGACTTAAAGCAGAATTGAATGAGCAAAACAACGCAGTTCGTTTATTATTATATCTGTAAGTGTTAGTGAGAACTGTTAATTAGAAATTAATTTGCTATCCAAAACAGCTTTGAGTTTTGTTATGATATAAAAAAATTTGGGTTTAATAATCAATTATTTTGCACGATACTAAATGATACTTACAGATAATTAATATTATTTCCAAACTCTTTATGTAACTAATGTAAACTTTACAAGCTTCAACTATTGGAAACTTGCAAGTTAAGGAGATGCAAGACAAACTTTGAATGAATTCATATTCTAACAATGTAAAAAAATAATGGGAGAGAAAGATAACTAGAACAAACCTGCAGTATGCGAAGTGTCCGTTACAACACTGAACAAATGTTGTAACACATCGGTATAATATGTCTGATAAAAACTCTGAGCTGCTGCTTCTTCCTGACTGACATTCTGTAATAGCTGATATAAGATGTGGAGACCTGAAAGATAACCCTACAATATTAATACAAATCACCATATTTGAACACATTTTTAACACAACTAATATATAGCTATTATATTAAATAACATAGTTTCGAAAATATTTGCTCCTACTCAGGTTCTAAGCTTCTAGAATAATAAGCACAAAACGTAAAACAAGCAATCATACACATATTACACATGCAAAAAATTTTTAATTATTGTATTCCCTCATCACTTGTAGGTACAAGATCCCCCACCCACAACATAAAGGGAAAACAATCTTCTAATTCACAATTATTACAAATGTTGTTTCTATTTTGCCTTAACAAGTTCCTTTCAGTTGTGAAACAGCATATTCAATAAAATAAAACAAACTCCTAAGATCAAAAGAGACAATAATTAGTGAAGGATCAGTGACCCAAGGTTTCATTTTATATTTCAGAACCACTGCATTACTCTTAACATCCAATGTTTATATAAAATGCACTGGAAAAAGTGAACCTAAAAGCTAAGGTGTAAATGTACGCCAACTAACTTAACCCTCCCACCCAACTCTCCTGTCATATACATTTTTTTTTCTTCACATTTTTAACAAACATTTTTTTAGTTTTTCTGAAAAATTTAAACTGGTAGGAAGTGAAACTCATTTCTTGTCCATCTACATATCTCATTACACAAATACTAAAGCAATGTAAAATAAATACCACTCATCCACTAAAGGCAGCCTTCTTATTTGTTCAGCATTTAAAATTGGAACAAGTTTTTTACACTGGAATATTTAGAAAAGCGAAGAAACTTAAATACGCTTCTCATATTACGAGTATATTTAGAAACTGTATATTTATCATGGTGATATGTAATACAATTACTCTTTTCAGAATGCTATAAAACATGAAAAAAAACCCACTAGATTATTAACAAGATTTTCACAACTTACCTGTGTCAGCCACATTTCTCATGGTATGTTTAAATGCCCAGATAACTGAATCTAGAACCAACTTGAACTGTGCAGGGGGGATGGTCAATAGAGCTGGAGCAAAAAAAACAGTTTAATATCATTTTTGCGAATTAAATATTACTTATGAAATCTTAAAATGTATTATCTATGATGATTGATGGCCTCTCCAAACTGCAACTTTTCCACAGAATACATGAAAAACTAATACCCATAGAATTTGATTAATTCCTTGAAAACTTGAAACAGAGATGACTTGATTCTATTAAATAAACAGTTTAAGAAAAGCAGAATTTATCTACACTATAAAAACAACATATATGCAAAACCAAAGATGTCATTAAAGATAAAATCTATATCTATAGATACTATATACATTCCACAAGCAGATGAACAATTTTCAACAAAACAATTCTTTTGACCAAAATGTTTCACAGTTTGTGTTTTTAAAGATGCTCCTTCAGCTAATCTAACAAAGTTATGGTTTTGAAATATCTGCATGCTATTTGGTAATCAGTTTTACTGATTCTCTAGCTTGTTTATAATTATTACTTTGGCAAATTCTATAATAGTCACAGATACTGCTACCCATAGTTTGAAAGTAATAACATTTGATGGTGGACTACAACCAGCATAAGCTTAGAGAGTGTCATGGATATTTATTAAAGAACTGTATTCAACTTACATAAGAATTACAGAAGTAACTTGTATCAATAAGCTAGTAAATTAAGTGTTTTATGTTTATACTAGTTTCAAAATACAGACATTTTGTTGCTAAATATCTCTATCAACAAAGGAGGTTAACACATAATGCTCTTTCATATGCCTGTAACTGTATTTTGATAAGCATGTCAAGGGATTCAAACTTGTTGTATAATAGTATGGTACTCAGTTATATCACTTAATGGTTTTGGTTTCATTATAAATTATAAAATTTCAACTAAAATCTCAAAACATCTTGTTATCATACTTCATGTTTCAGACAGCCATATTTCATCATAAATGATCAAGCAGAAGTAACCAAAATCATGCCACCATAGTTTAAATAATATTTTAAAGCCAAGCAAACAAACATTTATAGCCATCGAGTTATGCTACGTGCGAGCTACTCGTGAAAAATAATTATATTATTATTATTATTTATTTCACCTAATTTAACCTTAACTAACATTAAAGTTTCCTATTTTTACATTTTAGTTACTTCTATAATAAGCAAAGAATACATAAAAAAACAAGAAATAGAGTACTTACCTAGGTCTTTTTTGTTATCGACTGTAGATGACATTTAACATTACTTTTTTTTTATACAAATAAATAATAAATTAAATAATTATTTATTTAATTAAATAATCCACCAAAGTACACAGAATAATAACACGTAAAAAGCAGACAATGTCCCATATCTATCACAATTTTTCTTGCTTTCTAACTATGCAACAAGAGCCGTTAAAAATTATTCTAAGCTCGTCAATCTGTTTCTCGTGTGAATAAAGTTTAAACTGGAAGCAAAATAAAGAATTCTCTGTAGAGAAAACAGTGTGATATAATACTTCATTTGATAGGTTAAAACCTTGGCTTTCTATTGATTATAAATAACATAGTATTTAACATCAAAATGAATTATTGGCAATTTCTGAAAGAGAGGATGTGACAGGTGGGCGTGGCAAGAGGGGTCTGATTGTCTATTTCATGGCTCTGTAACTAAAGAAGATTGAAGACTATAGAAATTATGATTTGCCTGAGTGATGATAACATTATAGAGTAATCTACATTAAATTTTGTACTTCTTGAAGGGGTGGTAAATAAATTAGAGAAGAAGGGATGCCTGGAGAGAAAATGTCACCATTTACTTACTAAGGGAAATTCAAGATTTTTTAATACTGCCTTATAAAAGTAAGAACTTAAAACTTATATCTATTAGAATATGGATTATTAGCTCATTTTTTTTCTATATTTATTGGTACCACGAAAAGAAAGTAGTTTAATTAAATTTTGAATGTAACTCATCAATACCTCATGACATGGGGTCAGTAAATTACACCAACCTTGTAACCACCAAAAAATCATGACAGCATCCATAAATTTGAATATACGGTATGTGTACCTTCATAAAATTTTTGCAAGCTTTCAGTGTTTTCTGGATACAAAATATCAGAATTTTAAATTAAGTATTTATATATAAGATTTTTCTGTAAATATCTGGAATCAGAGAGTGGACTGCTCTGAGTTCAAAGAGATTTCTATGTTAAGATTTATTTGCATAGCCTTTAAACCTACTAAATCTTTATCAAACGTTTTTTTCATTAAAATTCATATTTTATCTGTTATTTTATCTACCCTAACTCTACATGGACTTGGTCGATTTTATCACCTAACCACAATAAAAATTATGAAATAAATCTAAATTACCCTTTCTAGAATGACTGCAGATTGTAATAGAAAAATACAAATCTTTATTTAAAAATACCTTAAGGACTCATAATAACAGTATACATCTGTTTATACTTACTTTTATTGCCCTTTGAACCATGCCTAACTAATAATCCCACCATACAAGTGTAAATCACTCAATGAATGTGTAGCTCACGTTACCGTGGTGAATGACATAAAAAAATGGGGGTTGAGGGGTTTTGGGGCTCTCAGGTTTGATTGATCTGAGTTACTTTTAACATGTAACAACCATTCCAAACTATAATCTTTCTCAAGACTTACACATGAATTTAAATGAAAACTGGCATGGACAAATAAGGGATCATTTAAAATAAATTTTCACTTTTATGTTTTAATTTTTTTTATATTAGGCCACTATATGGGGGACCAAGGGATTTCCCAGGATTCACAGGATTTACTTAAAAACTGAGAAGATCATGTATACTGTAATTCAAAATATGTTATGTAAAAAAGTTTTCTGTAGTTGGTTTTCCCATGAATTTTCTAAGTTAATTTAGTATTCTCTATGAATAAAATATTAACTTTAAAATTCCTATGTTGTTTTCATGCATCAATGTTGATGACAAAAAATGTAAGTCTCATGCTGAATTTAAATAAGTAATAAGTTCTACTGCTTTTGCAGTAATCTTACAGAAAGTTACAAACCTGGAAATATTGTCAGTATAATCTGAAATAAACAAAAAAATCTACAGAACTAAATATGTCAAAATCTCTCTCCCAAACATATTTTTTGTAATCCACATTGTTTGTTTCAATACCCCCCCCCCCAAAAAAAAACAACCAACTCTCCTGAACCTATTTCTAAATTTAAAGAACTTCAGTTCATACCAGAGTTGTTGTTTTCCTCTTCAAGAATAAAAATAAAAATATCACAAATATTCAAGTTGTAATATACTGCCTAAAACCTGTTCTTCAAAGATTTGGAAACAAATTAATTACCTGGGAAACAATGAGAAACAACAGCCTGAAGAAGTAGGAAAAAGTTGGTTCTATGTTCTGGAAATTCTTCAAAGTCCTAGACAAAAAGAACCCATTTATATTAACTGTAAATATCACAAAACCTCATCAATTAGCAAATCAAACTTTTAAGTATTAATGGTATTTACTACTAAATAAACTTGACCCATAGCAGTTACTTGGAAAAATGCTAATGTATCAAAGGGTATCATGTATCACGAAAATAATGTATTAATATTAAATACTACTGATAAACATACTAAAATTAATTTGTGGTAAAAGTAATATAATTTCAATACTTAATGATACCAAAAGGAGAATATATTTGCTTGTAATCTGAAATTATATTGCACTATTTTATAAGAACTAAGGACCCATTTAATAAACTGGAACATAAATTTCAGACAAATCCAGTTAGCTGGTAATCGTATAGTAATTATAACTCCAATACTTACTTTATTGATCATTTCCAAAGTACATTCAAACACAGCATCAAATATCTTTGGGATTTCAGATGTGATATTTCCCTGTGAAAGAATACAGAATTCACTTAAAGGCTAACAGAATATACATGCAAATGTAAATTGTGTGTAAGCTCATACATACTAAATGACAAATTGACAGCAACATTTAATTCTCACCAGCTCAACTAAACTGATTATACAGAATGTCAAAAGTTTTTATATTTCAGGTGAGATAAGACATTTGGAGTATTTCTAATACAAACCCATAATTAGTTTTCTTCTGTGCCCTGAAAGTGTAAAACAAAATATACCTGTTGTGCTTTGGAGAACCTAATTTGTGATATATTTTCAAGATCTAAACTTATGTTAAGATCAAATCTTGAAATCTGTGAATACCAAAAAAGAAAATATGAAGTTTATTCTAGAAATGCATGTTTAAGCAATTTTTTAAAATTATTATCTAGAAAGAAAATAAATTTTTTTCTAGATTTAGATGGATGTTTTCTCTGAAAGATAACAATATGAAGGTAATTTTATGGTTTCAGTTTGGACGTTAATCTGGATTAAAAAAAAAAAAAGGAAACATCATGTAATTATGTCAAATCCTTCTTATGTATCACATTGTTTGTTTGTTTGAAGTTAAGCACAAAGCTACAAAATGGGCTATCTGTGCTCTGCCCACCACAGGTATCGAAACCCGGTTTCTAGTGTTGCAAGTCCAAAGACATACCACTGTGCCACTGGGGGGCATGTGTCACATTAATTACATGTAGATAATGCACCAAACTTTTCCAAGGAATACCACAGATACATAAAATGACTTACGTTTAAACACTTATGCACAAACTAAATTCGCACTGATGTTTTGATACATGACTAGTAAATGTAATGATCAACAATCAGTTAAGAATAAAACCTGAACAGGAAAAAACATTCTATAATAACCCAAATAATGCCAACTTCTTCATACCTATGCCATAATAACCATGTACTATAGCTAGTAGCTAAAATTACACAATTTCACAAGCTCTACCCATCTGCTCTCCTAGGCTTTTATCTGTACAAAATGAAATATAATAATCAATTTAATAATCATGTATCGACAATTAGGCCTAATAGTATGGTATAATCTCCCAGACCAGTGAAAGCAATAAATTACATTTCCAGCAAATCAGAATCATACGCTTTTCATTTCTCTCCCAGATACACACACACAAAGTAACAAAGAGTCTACTGATGAATAAAAAACAACTTAGTTAGAAACTTTCTAATCCTTTTATTAACCCTTTCTGTACTGATAAGCACCTTGTTTGTTGAATGCACATCTGCACATCAAATTTCAAAATTTTAATAAAAAATAACAAAAACGTCTTTATTAAAAATATTTTTAAATTGATATTTTGACATTTTGTAACACTTATTTCATAGTGTTATTCCCAAAGAAAAATTAAATGTTCAAACTTACATTTATTCACAGCTCCAAAGAGCCTTGCCTGTAAACAACATACTTATCAATTTTTTGAGCGTTGATTACATCAATTAGTGTCATGAAAACAATCAATTAATATTTCCAATTATTATTGTTTTTGATCATACCAGCATACTAGTAATCGAAATTACAATGAAATCAGTCAGTATCATGATAATAATTAACTAGTGTTATTCCTACTATCCAGTAATCAAAATTCAATCTATTAATTTAGTGAAAATAATCAACTAATAAAAATTTGAGTTTCCAATTTTTACTATTTCTGATTATTTCAGTAATCCAAGTAATCAAGATACTGCCATTACTTTGTTCGTTGTTAAACCCAAAGCTACACAGTGAGCTTTACTCTGCCCACTACAGGTATCAAAACTTAATTTTTAGACTTATTATTCTGCTCATTCTTTTAATTGATTAGTTGAATGTAATCAACTAATAAGCCTGATAATTAATTAATTAGCAAATTCCACTAATTGCCCAGCTCCAATCAGAATAATTATTAAATGTAGCTCAGCTATGAAAATAGCTAAACATAAGGTTTGAGTATCATTGGACAGAGTAGGTTATAAACTATTTAGCTTAACATAGAATGAATAGTGTTGTGATAAGTAATTCATGGTCTTGTGGGAAAACAAACCAGATCCTGATCCTGCAAAGGAATGTAGTGGGAAGTTTAGAAGACTTAAGAAACAAACCACAGATCTGGGAATTTTTATCATTTCTTTAGATGTTCTTTTCATCCCCAAAAATGTTTTCATGTTATATTATATTTGTTTAACTCTTTCAGCACTGGCTAGGCACCTGGGACTGACCTCATAACCACTTTGTGCTTGTTATAGTTTTCATGCTATAACTTTTAAATTAGTAAGTGTATGTTAACATTTGCCAGATTTTTTTATTAAGTCTTAAGGTTTGTAAAGCAATGTTTTTCTTGTACCATTTTATTCTTTTTGCATGTTGTCTATTCAACATGCAAAGTAATTTTTATTTAAAGATTAAAAATACTTTTGTGCATCAAAAAATTTTCAAGTTTCTCATGCAAAATCTTTATAACGTCCAGATAGTTATCAAGCATTTCTTAAGGAAAAAACTTTATATTTTATCTGACATTTTCAGTAACAAATCTCTGTACGGGTTTGGTTGACTTGACCAATCTCGTAACCACATTAAAAGATTAGGAAATAAATATAAATTATGCCTTTTTTGTTCTAGAATGATTACAAATTATAACACGAAAACATAAATGTTTAGACTAAATAGTTTAAATCTCCTAACATTATACATTTATCATTTTTATTATACTGACTTTTCAGCCATATCAGACAAACAATACAGAAGTTACAATCACGCAGTGCACGTGCACTCTTGTTACCGTATCCAATAATATAAAACTGATTTTTAGTCTTTACAAAGTGACCTGTCTTGACTGTGTTTTAGTAACTACTATTTTGTACCACACAGTCACATTTCAATTATGAAACATAATATTATGTGTATGGATTATTGCTATTTAGAAATAAGTTCTTAAACATATCTTTTTTAAAACATAGAACAGTAAATAAAGAAGTATAACAAATAATTATCTGTTCTAGTTATGACCTTTGTACTCAGTTGCTGCTTGACGTAGGTTGCTAAGCCTTTTAAAATTTTGCACTTTGAGGATATGAAACGAAATAATTTTTTTTTAGGTTTTATATATACAGTTGAATAACCAAAAAATATAAATTACTACATCAATACCATAGAATTCCATTATAATTTATCAAGCTTAGTAACTAAGCTGTATTTCAGTTAAAAAAAAATGAAATATTGAGCAGACTAAAGACGCAACCTACCTACTTAAAATCTTGGTTTGAAAGAAAGAGTTGGAGTCCAAACATGTTAAAATAGCTGAGAAAGCCACTAGATGGACACTCTGCACTTCTAATTGGTTATTCATGTCATATATAGTAGTGTACATAAGGGAGCGTTTCCAAAATTGAAAACAGGTGGGCGAGGTGCCACTGTGTTTGATTTATTACATGAGCAATATCTTAACAAATTTAAAAGATAAGAGACTATTATTTTATATTCTAGTTTGTCAATATCTGTAATTTGAGTTACTAATTCATACAAAACTACAGACTTTGTATTTTGACATCACAAACATCTAATCTGAACCAGAGCTGCATTCAACACACCCATGTGACACACCATTTTTTTTAAATATTTACTGTTAAATTAAGAAATTAACTAATCTATAATACTAAAATTTGATTTATAATCTACAATTTGATACCAAACTTATTGACACACATCCATAAAGTAGTAATTCAATAAAATTTTGAATGCAAGTCTACAAATGCGATGACATGGCCTTTGACTCGCTACCATAGTTTAATCAATGACGTTTTTTGTATTTTCAGCTCTGACAATGAAAAAAAAAACTTCTTAAACCACACTATTAAAATTCATACTACTTATTCACTGATATCACCAGAAAACCAACAGAATTTGTGACAAAGGTTCACAGGAAAGCAACACATTCTAAACAATACATCAAATGGAACTCTGCACATCTTCAACATAAACTAGGAGTTTTAAATATATTATCCAAATAGCAATTAACATTTTTGCTACAGGCATCTTTTTCTATGCATATCATGAGGTTTTAGCAAGTTACATTCAAATTTAATTAAACTACTTTCTTATCATGGTATATGAATAAATTTGGCATAAAAATGTAGCTAATTATCCAAATTTTAATATTATATAAGTTTTGAGTTCTTAATTTTATAAGGCAAAATTTTTTAAAAATCCCAAATTTCCTCTAATATGAGAGTTGTGACATTTGCTCTCTAGGATCCCTTCTTTTCTAATTTATTTACTACCTCTCTGAGAAGTATGAAATTTAATGTAAAATACTCACTATAATGTTGTCATCAATCAGGCTAAGCACAACTTTTATTGTTTTCAATCTTATTTGGTTACAGAGCCATAAAATAGAAAATCAGACTCCTCTTGCCACACCCACCTGTCACATCCTCTCTTTCCAAAATTGACAATAGTTCTCTCTGATGTTTAATACTATGTTATTTATAACCAACAGAAAGCCAAGGTTTTAATATTTCCAATGATGAGCTTAGCTGAATTTTTATTGGCTCTTTTTGAATAGTTAGAATTCCAGAAAATTGTGATAGTTATGGTACATTGACTACTTTTTGCATTTTATTATTGTTTTCTTTGGCACGTTATTTAATTAAATAAAAAATTATTTATTGCAGTAGTACCATTAGTATAAAAAAGAAGGCCCAGGTACATACTTTATTTCTTGTTTTTCATGTGTATTCTTTATTTATTATTATAAAAGTAATGAAACAGAAAAAAATTAGAAACTTATTAGGTTAAACAAGGTGAAATAAATAACAACAGTAACCTTTCACGAAGTATGCTTGCGAACAACTCGCAAGTAGCCTGCATTTTATAATTCGACAGGGTAATGTGATCTGCATGTTCATCAAGTGATTTACAGTTTATATGGTGCAAATATTTAGTGAAACATGGTTCAAAGGGTACTAAAACAATAAAATCTAAGTAGAAATAGATGTATACTGTTACAAGTTTAAAGCTATTAAAGATAAACAAATGTAGTTTCATGTTACAATTTGAAGTCTTTCCAGAAAGAAAACAAGGTAATTTACTTCTTTTTTTTTTGTGGTGGTTACAAGGTCGATCAAACTTTATAGAGGTAGGGTA